ATCAAGTTAGCCAAATTAACAAACACATTTAAATGATTTGGTGCTATACGTGCTTGATAAGATTCTCCCGGTTTTGCTTTTGGTAATAATGACTTGGCCTAGAAAAAAAGAAGTAGAAGTTATCGAAAGAATTAGACAAATTATATAGATATTTACTGTCATTATTTACCTTTAAGTACGCGTCTTCAGCTTCTTTGAACATTTTTAGATGATTGTAAGTTCTTCCAACATTAATGTGTGCTCCAATATCGTCACCCTGAACTTGTACAGCCATATTGAAAAAATTTAATGCTTCCTTAAAGCGACCTTGGCTCTCTAACGCGTGACCCACATTATTAAACAGTTTAGCGTTTCTATCGTTCACTTTTAAGCCAGACATGAATATTGAATATTCATCTAACCAATCATAATTTCTGACAAATGTTTTCGTCGTGTGCGCTGCCAGAAGTGTTACGAGTAAAAGTAATACTAACTTCTTGCATCTGAAAGATGGTTTATGTGAGAAAAATATTTTTCATAATGAACAAGAGCAATCCACACAATGTTACGTTCACGAACGAGTTAACTTACTTTTTGTCTGCCAAAATATTCCATCCATATCCAATAAGCATGCAAAATCCCATGGAAGGAGCGTACAACACTCTTTCAGCAATTACAAATCCGACCGGAAAGAAAAGGTTCGACGCGGGTAAAAAAGGGAGTATCATCATAGCCAAACTCTGCAGGCATTATATTGGAAACATATTCGATATTAGTATTGTTAATTACGGAATCTGTATATACAACATTTCAAATAAAATACATGCATATTTTATTCCACAAACACATACGATTACTCAATTACTATTATATTCTCTATTAGATTATGTACAATGTAATTGTGCAACGTTCTACTAACCATAATAAGAATGACTGATGTTTGTCTGCTACGTGTTACAACAGCTGTCACAAGTAGTCCTAGTACAGTTCCATGAGTAGCTAGGGTCGCGAGATTACGGACATCGGTAAAGCTTTCTACTAATGGTATCGTCCCCATTGTCCAATCACAGCACAAATCACTTGGAAGAAATAGCAGTCTTAGATTCACTGCAGCAAGATAATTATATGTAAGCTGTCTTGTTGGTGTTGTAGCAACCGATGCAGGATTGTCGAATCTAAAGAAGGTGTTCACGTTCGCGATTAGTTTACAGTATGAATAAAATTACATATAAAATTACATATAATTTTACATATATATATATATATATATAAAT